CTTCCTCCCTGGAAAATAACTTTTTTTCCATTCCATGCAGTTCTCTTTTGCAACTGCAAGACCAGGCAACCGGCTTCCAGGGAAAACACTTGTAAAAAAGGCTTTTCTTTTTCATTTTTTTCCCCTCAACAACATCTGAAACATCATTGTGTGGCAATGAGCAATTGTGCTGAGACAGAGATGAAGCTGTGTGGTCTGAAAAAGCAGAGTGTCTAGGAGGGAAGGAGGCGGGTTGCTGCAGGAATCGTTGTTGTGTCAGTATTTTATTTTCTAATTTCCACTAGGTTTTTGCCTTGGCATTTAAAGTTTTGTCTGTGTTTTCTCAGGCACTGCCTGCTACAGGCCCCGGGAGCCTTCCGGGAGGAGGGCAGGAGCTCTTCTCCTGGCTTGGTGTGCAGCTTCCCCCTGCCCCTGCTCAGGGGTGTGTAAATGGCAAGTTCTCATTTGTTTCTTCTTCCTGAGCTGGGAAGACCTCACAGTTATTCCAGTCCTGAGGCTGTTGCAGAAGGAGCTGAGCAGACCGGACTCCTGAATGCTCAGCTCCGAGACCCGCACGAGACAGGTGGTGCTCTGGAGTGTGCTGCCGGTGGTAATGGTGACCAGGTTCTGATCCAGCACAGCTAGGAGCTGTGATCCCAAATGGTGCCATTGTCAAAACTGACGAATAAATGATGCACTGGCTATTTCTCTCCCATGCATATTCCTAAACAGGTCATATACTCTTCTTGAGAAAAACACTTCTCTCTAAACCTGGTTATAACCTCTGCCTCGTAGTGACCACAAACTTCTTTGAGAACTTGCAGGTGCTTTCTCTAGAAATTTCTCAAGACCTTCTTTAGCTAGGTACCTAAAACAATGTTGCTGTCTAAAATTAGGGGTAGGTAAAGACTTCTTCCACCCTCCGCAACGGTAGTGGTAGGGTATTATTTTCTCCCTTGAGCTTTTTTATCCTAGGACTACATCTTGAGCAGTCCTCTTCTTTCCCTTAAATATTGGTCTTAGGAGCAGCGAGTTTGAGTTTAGAGACTTCACAAACATTAAGTAAACTTAACATCTCATGAGGAGCCTGTAGTAATGAGATAGAGAAGGAAAGGGGCTACAGAGATAAAAAGTGCATTTTTTTTTAGAGCAAGTGGTTGCGATATGTTAGGAAGAAGCAAATATGCTTTAAATAATTAGCAAGGCACAAGGATCAGTTGAGGTGTGTCCTGGATGATGCACCAAGTTCCTCTATGGATGATGCACCTCCATAGGTGCGTTATAAGCAGCAGAAATTTGTTGCATGAGATATGAGGATGTTCTTGAGCCACAAGGCAGCACAGGTGTAAAGAAATATCATGTTTTTCCCTTCTGTAACAAGAGAAGACAGACCTGTTGGCCACAGAAAGTTGTCTGACACAAGTGTGAGTTATGGGAATTGGTTTTCTACCCCTTTATACCCATCATCCACCACCATCTCTTTTTGGAGGAACCTGGTCCCTTTCTCTGCTGGAAAGAGGACATGAAGCCAGGCATGCAGCCTGTTTTCAGAGCCCTGGACATGCCCTTTGTCCTGCATGCTACTGCCTCTCTCCAGGATTTTCGTCACGTAGTCTCAAAGACCCTTTCAGGTGTCCCTTGGGGCAGATGTGAGCTGTGTGTGGAGAACAAGGTGGAAGAAAGGGACCTGTTGCATCAGTTGCAGTGATTTTTTTTCCAGGCTGATTCTCAAAAGCTGTAAAACTTTGTGATGACAATGTTGGAGGCGGCCAGTTTGTGCCACTTCCCACCATTGCTGAACC